GCCGAGCAGGGAGCCCGATGCGGGGCTCGATCCCAGGACCCTGGGATCATGACCTGAGCTGAAGGCAGACGCTTAACCACTGAGCCACCCAGGCGTCCCTTTAAAACTTTATCTTTCACTTAACTAAAACCAAGTGGCTAGTTTAACAACCTCGTCCCACTGGTTTGATTGTGTTCTTCACACGTGGGGATTCTACAGGGCTCCTGTCTCGCTGGGAATGAGCAGGAGGCTGTGGTCTGCACCCCGGCACGCACTCCGTGACGGACCCAGGACAAGGTCTTAGGCTCTTCCAAGTGTCCTGATCAGAAAATGAGGCTGCCGCCGGGCTCACAAGCTTAAGGAGGATTGAAGACATACTGTCCGGGAGCATCGGTTTAAGCAGCGCAGGTGGTGGTGAGGGTCTAGCCTCAGTGCTCACACCTCGACCTTCCACAGGATCGGGATCTGACGACACACAAAAGCCGCTGAACCCTGGGAGCTTACAAATGTGTGCGCCACCTGGACTCCGAAAACCGTTGCTCTGATTGCTGGGCGGGGCGGGGGGGGGGGGCTGGGGGTGTCGAACAGTCCTCGACGCAAATGTCCTTTTCTGTTACACAGAGACGGGCAAACACGGCAGGCCCTCGTACCATCTGGTGGCAATTTATGTAAATGTTTAATGGAAATTAAAAATTTGATCCTGACTCAGTACCACAGCCTTCTAGAAGCTTCTAGAACCTCAAATGAATGTATTTGCATTTTTTCTAAATAGTAGCTTCCATTGGTGGTGCTCAGCTGTGGCTGGGTATCAGAATCACCTGGTAGAAGTTTAAAAAATTATAGATTTCAAGCTTCACGACAGACTAGAGCATCAACTCCCATGGGTGGGACGGGGCGTCTGTATGAATAACAAGGGAAAGAAAGCCGACTTTCAACGCAGGACGCACGCGGCTACCAAGGAAGGGCTGAGGACCAAGGCAACATCTCTCTGCTCGAGAAGATGCCAAGGAACCGAGGGGGAAGCTTCCCAGGGCCACGTCCGACTGGGAAGAAGCCGCGTGAGACGAGCTCTGGTGGGTCCAGCGGTTCCGTCCCGCCTTGCGTGCGCAGCGGCCGCAGGAGAGCAGAAGCACCTACAAGGGGAGGGGGTGCTCACCCGAGTCGGAGCGAGCACACTGGTTTTCTCGGAACAGCGTTTATTTGCAGTTACATCTCCGCGAGCATCTTCGGGGGGCGCGGGGGGTACGCTGGCTGCAGCCAGACATCCAGAACTTTTACACAACCTCTCGGATACAATTTACCAAAGCACTGCAGACGGGCGCTGGCATCCCATACACTCTTCAGATGGCTTCGAAAGTCAGACGTAGGTATTAGTTAACACGTTAAAGCCCCTAACAAAATAACTGAATGGTCAGGAACGTGACAAAATGATCTCAAGGGTCTGCTGCTGGCATGCTCGCTAAAACACGACGGCACGACCCGCCGCCCAGGGGCCTGCACGTCAGCCTTCCGCAGGAGAGGCCAGGTCTCAAGATGGCAAGTGCCGCGCATCACTGCCCCCCCCGCCGTGGGCTGTACCAGAAACGCCCCGGGAACCCTCCCCGCCGCGCGCCTGCGTTCCCGGGCCGTTCGCTCTGTCCCCACCAGGTGGCAGCGACGCACCGTCTCGTCCTTCCTGCAGGGCCGGCGATCAAGGAGGGTGAAGTGAGGCCCAGCGTCTCCAAGTACAAGTTAATGGGGCACACGAATCGGAGGCCAGAATAAAGAGTGATATTCTAGAGGCCGAAGGCCAAAACAGTACGGATTATGGAACAGGGGAGAGCCGGCCTCCGTGAGAAAGCGTCACAGCGGTTTTGCCAACTACTACAAGGGGTGTCGGCGGGGAAACGCCGACGTCTTCGTTTTCCCCCAGACTGATGGAAAAATGAGGCATTACCTTTGACTGAAAAAGCACATTTTAATGGAACAGAAAGGCCACCCTCGTTCGAAGAGTATCTCAGATGCTCAGTTCTTCTGAATCAAGTATGAACATTCACTCACAATGGCCATTAACAGGGTAAGAGCAGTGAAATAATCCAATTAACAAATTAGGACTATTTCCCCACCTGTCCCCAAAACTTTGCCCACCTCCCCATCCGATGGCAGAGGCCAATAAATGAATAACGACTGAGCAAAGAATAAAGGTTCTTTTTATAAATGCTTGAGAAAGTAATTCTGGATAGAAAGCAGGCATATCCGTATTTTCCTTTAAAAAAAAATTTATTTTAGAGAGAGCGAGCATGAATGGGGGAGGGGCAAAGGGAGAGGGAGGGAGGAACTCCAGCGGACTCCCCGCTGAGCTCGATCTCACCACCCTGAGAGCAGGACCTGAGCCGAAATTAAGAGTCTCACGCAACCGACTAAGCCACCCAGGCGCCCCGCAGTATTTTCTTTTATTACACAGAGTAACACTGCTCCACCACCTTATTCCTGCTTATTTAAATATACAACTCCCCCGGTTGAAGTCCATCCTGACAGAAACCGCTATGGTAGCAAAGTAACTAGAAATGTCCTATAGGCCTGAAATGAAGCAACTACATAAATTCATCTAGTGAGCCGGGGCAGAGCATTTTTTAAAAAGGGGGGTACAGGAGAAGGAGCACGGATGCAGGGAGCTTGAGGGCACCACACTCCAGGCGAGGGGGCACACATCTGCTGGAGGACGGTTCCTCTTCAGGAGGAACCCGAAAAGATTCTGGGAGACAGAGGGAACTGAAAAGAAAGGAGACTATGGGAAAATATGTGTATTGAGACAGAATGGCAAAAAGCCCAAGCACTGGGAGCTCCGAGAGGAAAGGTGTCACAGGGGTTCAGATGAGCTGGCCCGGGAGGCCCCACAGGGAAGCCACTCGGGACGTCTCCGAGGCACCTGCCTGGCCCGTGTTCCCAGCACAGGGCGCCTGCTGCTGGTGAAGCCTCCGCCATTGTCGGCCGGCTCACAGCCTTAGGAAGGGAAGAGCAGCTCGGCCCCCTTCCAGGCTACTACGTTTCTTCCTCCTACAGCCCCCTGCATAGTGTGAAGGAGCTGGACCATATACAAACTCCACATCTCCACTTTCAGCTGCACAAAGAACATGACATAACTGTCATGGAAAAACAGTGCAGAGAAAGCGCGATACTGAGCATATGATGGAAGCTTAGTAAAGACCTAACGCATCAGGTCTGCTTTCCAGACGCTATTTCATGACACGTTCACCACGGCTGCTGGGCATGGGCCAAAAATCATCCAGTGCGCACAGAAAAATTTTGCAAAGCTTTTTAGCGTTGATTAAGGTTAGGATAACTGCTATATTTTGTAGAATAAGTTTAAGTAAGAAATATTTCACTTCTAGAATGTTGAACTAAAAATAAGTTTAATAAATGAATTATTTGTATATGGAAGATAATAAATATTTGTTGAATGGAACTGGAACTACAGACGCTAAAAATTTGTAAAAATCTTGTACTAAAGATGGCACCCATGAACGAATGCACATTTAAAAAGCTCTATCAGTATTTAAAAAACAGACACTCTATTCATAAAATCGTTGAGATTCAATAAGAAAAGGTTCCTCTCACATTTTTTAAATCAAAGATCACACAACCCTCTGGCTACAGCCTTAACTGAATAGAGAAGCAAGTATTTACTAACCTCTAAATCATAATAGCAGAACAGTAACTAATAACTAGAAAGACAGGCTTCCCTAAGAATTAACCAAATCAACCTTTTTTGTGTCTATAACCGAAGCTACAACAGTGAACTTCTCATTGATGGATCTGGATCTGTCCTGGGCGCCGCCAGCTAACCCAGACCACAGAGGCCGCTCACCGGGGGCTCCTCACAGAACGCCATTCTCATGGGGTTTTATTTATTTTTTTCACAGTAAGTAAATTGGCAATCGAAGTTCACAACAAACCATAAAGATAACGATACTATGAATATTAATTTAATATCTGAAGCAGTAGTAGTTGGAGAAACCTCAGTCTTTTAAGACAGTTTTGTACAGCGAGAACTGGTCTGCTCTGCACGAGACAGACTGCAGGTTTGAGACCCAGTTCAGGCACTCAGCTCCAAGGGGTAGAGATAAGTATATTTAAAATTTACTCCAAAAATACAGAGCAAATCTAATTGGGGGACACAAATTAAAAATCGTTCCCTAACAGCTGAAATGCTCAAAGGTGAAACCAAAGACATCAGAAGTTCTGAATAATTATCCAATAAGAAAACAGTTGTTGAGCTTTGCAAATTTTTCAGATTTTTAAAAAATCAGAAATGAAATCGTTATTTTATTCTACAATTCAGAATTATAATGACGCCAATGCTTAATTTACATTGCCGATTCTTAAATCAGAGGCATCTTCCTTCCTGTTCATGTTCATATTAAAGATGATGAAAAAGTCCACAGAGACTGAGAAAACATAAACTTTCTTAGAAGGCTGACCGACAAAATACTCTCGTCAGAGTCGTGAATTTTCATGGACTCCAGAGCTGAACCAGGACACTTTCTCCAAGTCATCCATATCCACGTGTTTCCCCACTCTTTGTCCTCTTCCCCAAGGAGGGGTCCAGGATACACGCTCTTCTGGTCCACACGATCATTTTTTATTGCCTCACATGGAAGCCAATTGCGTTTCTGTTGGTTTGTTTAGAGACCAGGTATTCCAGGTCATACCTAGCGCATTTTTGGAAAGCCTTAATATTCCTGGACTCCTGACTTACCTTTCCTGAGAGTCACCCCCAAACAGAACACCTGCTCCGGAGAGTGGAGGCAGCGGGTAAAGTATGATTTCTTATTGTAGAAAAGCAACAGGTCCGTAACCAGGTGTCGCGGAGTGGATGTCAGGCCAAAGATTTCGCCTTCTAGATGGAGACTCCCACTTCCTCCTGATCACCGTGGGGCACTCCGGCCCTGTCCCCAGTGCCGGTCGGGGGCAGACGCCTGCTCAGGAGGAGGGGCCTGGCCAGGGCGCTTGCTGGCCGGACCTTAGTGCCCCTTGTTGTGCACGGGGTAGAGTAAGGTCATGTGTTCTGCCCCCTTGAAGGGCAGCTTCTCGTTGGAGTAATAGTGTACCACCTCGGGGATGCTGTTGAAGACCGCGCTCGTCTGATTCAGCGTGTACCTGTTGTCTTTGGTCTGGGCCACTATGATGTGGACACACCCTTGACTAGTCCTGAAACAAAACGAGATTGAGGAGGACACGTGAATGAGTGAGCAGGGGTCCCTGCCCCCTAAGAGCAATGCCAGCCAGAGTCACCGGCAGGCAGGTTCCCACCCACCCCTGGAATGGCTACAAACTCGAACAGAAAGGCACTCTGGGGGCCCCTGGGGGGCTCAGTGGTTGAGCGTCTGCCTTCGGCTCAGGTCATGATCCCAGGGTCCTGGGATCGAGCCCTGAATGGGGCTCCCCGCTCTCCAGGGGGCTGTCAGAGGCTTTGAGGCCCTCGGCTCAAGGTGGGTCATCCTTGGGTTGTTTGTCCGTAAAGCACACAAGTCATCAGGTGCTGGACCAAAAAGACACACACACACACACACACACACACTCACAAAGCCCAATCTCCCCTGTCTCCCAAATCACCAACTAGGGCTTATGCCCGAGTATGAGACCACTAGGGTGAGGTTTAAACTCACCCTCCTCGTCATGGGACAAGGACATATGTACGGTTTCCTCTTTCTTTCCTCCCCAAAGAATATATTAATAATAATAATAATAAAACCCTGTTTCCTCCTTCCTCCCTTCCCACCCTCCAACTGGAAAGACCGGTCCTGGTTGTGCGTAACGACAGCTGGTACCAAAGGCTCAAGAGCTGGTCCACGAGCCCCCTTTCGGGAACGCAGCACAGCTACTCCTGGTATTGTGTGTCTGGTGGCCGGCCCCGCTTTCCAAGCCGTGTTGCTCAAACACCCCCAGCCTCTCTTCCCTCCAGTCTGATTGTTTCAGCTGCAGGGGCTCAGCTTCCTCAGGAAGGAAGTGCTCTTAGGGCTCTGACAATGATCCTCCAACACAGTACCGCTGAACCCGCAGAGCAGCGAGAATTTCCATGACACAAAACCCGCCAGGCCCGCCTCGTGCACACGAGCGTTCTCGTACAGTCAGGCAGGGAGCAGCAGCTCAGCGTGTCCTCCTTCCCCAGAAGAAACTGCTGTCAAAGCTGCAGGTGGCATTTGGACATCAAGGGATCTGATTTATTAAAGTCCCAAACACTGGGGAATAAAAGGACCACCCAAGTGTCCCGCTGGAAATTCCCCTTTTTGTCAGGGATTATTTCTCTGCTGGGCCTCGTGGAGGGCCTACGTTAGGGCAGGCAACGGACAGCACACGCTGCGTCACTCGGGACGAGAGAGGCCCTCACCATCTCGGGAGACCTGGGGGCATCTGCCTAGTACCGACTCTGCGTTCGGATCTGAGCATCTCCCATGCTGTGGTCCGAGCAAATGCCCCTATTTTCTGGCAATCTGTACCCTGCGAACCACCTTCAGATATGATCTTTCCTGAGCAGTCCTCTGCCCATGACTGGAAGGGCCGGTGCCACCCGGGAAAGCCCACACAGCTCTGGTACTCACTTGAGTGCGATAGAGTACTTGCTGTTCCCCGACTCGCTGTTTCGAACCAGATAACCAGCTTCTCTGCAGGGCTGCAGTCGGCTCTCGGCCTCCGCTCGGGTGATGGCACCGTGATACCAACTGTAAAGGGGGGGGCACCCACATCAAAACACAGATCAGACGGGGCCTCACTCCAAAACGCATTCTCTTTAATGCACTTCTCTTGGAGGGTCAGTAGCCTGACCTAGACCCTGCTTCATGCTCAGGAGAGACGAGATACGGATTTGGGTAATCCGGGATCACGAAATCCATCAGTCATAGAGAGGGAGGGAGTGAACAGGACTAGGGTCAGTCGCTACAGGAGAATGAAATGTAAAATCAGGCTCTTGGGATGCAGTGCACTTTCTATTCTGCACAAATGCAGTGGGCTTTGAAAATAGGTCTTCATTAATCAGCCCCAGCCAGATGAGAATTCAGGAACAAAAATAATCACGTGAAATGGGCGAGCCCCCCTCCCCCCACCAGCAGGCTCCCAGCCGCTGTTCGTTCCGCGGGGATGAGGACGAGACTCACGGCTGCTTCGCCAGTGGCAGGGCCGGGTCCACCTTCTCCCCCTCGCTGTGGTCCGAGACGGCCGGCTTCGGGATCTTCTGCGTCCGGCTCCTCGGCCGTTGGTGCTGCTTCACTGTGTCCTCCTTGAGGGAAGGCCGGTCAGAGCCTTCAAACTGAACTGGAAAGGAGGCTCGTCTAACACAGAGCCCACGGGCAACCCATGTGCGCTTCACACAAAAGCCTCCTTGCCCCCTTCCCGATGGCTAAAGCGCCTGCAAACACCCGGCTGCGGTCACACCTCGAGGGTCCCCGACGGCCACTGTCCAGGGAGACGCTCTCCTGTCCAATAGTTTCAGAAGGTGAGGGGGGTCTCGAGGGCACATTTACCGTGCACTTGTAAACACTTCGAGTTTTGGTGTATTTAGAATAAAAGGCGCAAGTGCGTTTTCATTCTATGAAACCAAACAAGCAGTTTTTACTATGAAATAATAAAACAACACGCACTTGGAGACGGAAGCTACTGAGCGGCAGACGCTACGGCATCTGGGCTGGACGGAACAGACGTCCAGAGCCACACGTGGCTCGGCGTCCAGAGAGCAGGTGCCGACAGAGGGCTGTGGAAAACAGGACTGAGCCAAACCAAAATGGACTCAGATGTCCGCTGTCACATACCTCACCCTCTGCACCCACCCTTGACGTGGCCTGCGCTGCTCATCACCAACCTGGCTTTACTGGTGGAGGGAAAACACATCCCTGGCTTTTTTAAGTCGAAGGAGAAGAAGGTCCCGCGGCCAGCCAGGCAGGAAAACTGTGTCCTGGGAGAAGCGGAAGCAGGAACACCTTTCCCACCCACTGCCCCTCCCCTTACTCTACACACACACACTTAAGGAACCGGTTCCTGGGGGAGGGCTGCTGACACAGCCAACGAAGAGCGCCTCACAGGCCCCCAGACACCTCCGTCTGTGAGGCACTGGACCCCAGACCGCCATCGGATAGGTAGGAATTTCAAACGGTTGAGGAGCAGCACTGAGTCGGGTTAGTGAAAGCTGACCCCAGTCTGATCGCTGGAGTGGCTGGGAGGCACGGCAGCGACCAGACTGGGATTTCTGAGCGGTGCGACCTCAGGGCCTCGGCCTGGGCTCCACGCACACGGGGTCCTCACCCGACAGCGCCCGAGCAATCTGCTCCTTCTTCCACTCCCACGGCTGCTCATACTCGGCCGCCGGCCGCTCGTCCTCCGCGGGCAGCCGCGCCCTCCGGTCGGGGGCCCCGTCCCCAGGCTCGTAGGGCGTGTCGTACAGCTGGGGGGGCTTCCCCAGGAGGTCCCTGGAGCTGCGTCTCTTGGCCGCAGCCTCCGTCTTCGTGCTGTTCTCGCCCGGCTCACAGGGGCTGTCGAGCAGCTGAAGAGCCTTCACCAGCGGATCCTTAGAGCCTCGGCGTCGGATTTCTGAAAGACACACCAGAGACAGAGCCCTGACAGAAACGTGCCACGGACGCGCCGAAGGAACCGGGCGGCCTCCTGCCGGCCGGCCGAAGGGGCGCTGCGTGGATGCCGGTTTGCCCGCGGGCCCGGCGAGCAGCAGGCCCCCGAAGACACGTTCCACACTTGGTGGGAAGCCACGTGGCCGCCGGCGACCTGCTCCCCGGTCTCGGCCCCTCCTCTGCCTGGAGTGTGGTTCGCCTGCAGTTCCTACACCTTGTGGGAAGGCTGAGACCCCCGTCCGCTCACAGGCGTCGACGGACGGCTCACTGTCTCCCCAGCACCAGCCCACACGCAGGGGAGGGATCCGGACGCCGGACAGAGTTCTGGACTCCCAGGCAGTTTCCAAACAGAGGAAGCCAGACACACTCACAAACGATCCTGCGGGCATAACGACAACAGTGAGCACCCCGCGGTCTTCACAACTGCCTACAAGGCGGTACCATTATTTCCCTAATTTTACAGAAGGGAAGGCTGAGGCACGAAGCCGAAGGAAGCCGTCCTCACTCAAACGTGGCAGAGCCTGGATGTAAGAGCAGGAAGCTGGACTCTCCAGGGCCGCACTTGGATGGACTCCAAGTGGAAGAGAATTGGAAGATGGGTTCACTCTGATAGAGAAGGTCACTTCCAGGGGAGGAAGCTGCGTGAGTGCAGATATGGAGGGGGGACCACAGAGGGCTTGTTCCCGTGAGAGGGGAGTTCAAAGGACACAGGCCAGGAGGGATGATGGGGTGGGGAGGCTGGAGAGTGGGCACGCCGGGCTCCAAACGCACACATGTGAAAGGAAGGATGCACAGCTCACACTGTCGGCCTGCGCTACGTCGTGTGTTCTTCAACAGGTCGTATCGATCACACGTGCGTTTCACTGGAAGTTAAGGATGCAAAACCCAACCAGCAGCCACAGCGGGAAGGAGCGGGAGCGCGGGGACGACCAGCTCGCGGTCCAGAGGCCTTGGCAGGGGGCGTGCTCTGGTTCTCCTAAATGCCCAACGGGAAGCCTTCAGTTCCCCCCGCGACACCGTCAAGACCCTTCTGAGCACCAGCACCTCAGGGCACCACTCAAGCCCGCGAGCTCTCCATGGTCTCCTTACACAGCGCGGGCGGCTCGCACGGCCCGGGACCCCGGCCACAACCAGACCACCTTCCTCCTCCAATTTCTTCTCTTCACACCACCGGCCCCATCCCCCCTCAAAACCCATTCTTGACTCCACCCAGATGGAACTGCTGACGTTCTCTGCACTTGCTGTCACGCCCTGTGTCCTGGGGACCCCCGCCCGCGTCTCCTCCCCTCTCCGGCCCACCCCCCTGCCACGGCCCCACGGCCTGCCGCTCTGGGCCTGCCCTGCTCCCGGTGCACAGACTGTGTGGATGTGTCTGCCTTTCCGGAGTGGTGGAGACTGCCGGGCAGGGGCCATCATGTCTTACCTTCGGGGGATGCACAGTCGTGCTAAGGACTGACTGGGCGGCCGGTGGGGGAGGGAGGGAGGAGCCCCCCAGCCGTGCGGATGTGGGGCTCAGAGAGATGAAGGTCATGGGTGCACACCACAGAGCTACCCACAAATAAATGCAGGCTGTTAGTCTGTGAAATTGAAAGCAACCAGCAGAGAAAAGGAGAGGGTCGAAGGCGGAGCGGGGTGGCTTCAGCTCGGGGCGGGGGTGTCCAGGTGAGCAGGGGAGGGTGGGAAGAGCACAGTGCCGGTAACTTAAAACGTCAGTGAAACTCGGGAGGAGTTACTGACTCCTGTCACGAGGAGGGGGCAACAGATGAAACATTCAAGGGAAAGTGGGAAAATCAGGACACTAAATTCATTAGGTTCTTACCCTGGATGGGGCCCTGACCGCAGCCGGCTCCAACCCTGCACCCGATGCCCGGCCCCTCCATTTAGCTGGTCTGGGGCACGGGGTTCTCATGGGAAGCAAAGCCTGAGAAGCACTTGCACGCTCCCTGGTCCCCGGGGCCCCCGTCTGAGCTCCTCCAGCCCTCCACAGCCATCCTGTCTTTGCTAGCTCCGGGGCAAGGAGAGGGGTTCTCCCTGGGTCCGAACCCCCGCATCGAGGTGTGGGAGCTCCCACCCCCAGGCCAGGACGGTGCCTGGGGCTGCGTGAGGCCCCGCAGGGTGCTGGGGCAGGAGGCTGCCTGTCTGTCCACGCCTCCTTTACATTATTCTAGACAAAGTTATGGGGAACGAGAAACACACTCTGCTCCTGGTTCAGTAAGATAGGGCTGGAATCTCTTAACAAGAACGTTTGTGTAGCGCTAAGAAAAAGGAAAGAGAAAACACAAAGGAATTCAAAGGGTGAACTTAGAAACTGTACGTTTCTGATCAAAACGGCTTGGACGGCCTGGTGCAGGCGGGGGTCACCTTTCCCACGGTCCTCGCCTCAACTCCGTCCCAGCTGATGGAAACCGAGAGTGGATTCCAACCTTAAGACACAGGAGTCCTGCCTACAAGGAAGTAACGTGTGTGTTGGAATGATGTACATTCTTCCCACACGTGTGTTCGCGTGAGGTGAGGGCCTGCCCTCCTGGTGCCTGGGATGGACTGTGCGCCCGCGGCGGTGCTCGGGGGAGGCCCGGGGAGCGCGGGGCCAGCAGCGCTCCTCCCCAGGACGGCCCTGGGATCGGCGGGATCTGCAGAGCAGCATCACCCTTAAAACAACGTTCAATTAGGGGAAACCAGGGCTTGAGCGCGGGCCGCCGCCCCTTCGAGGGGGCAGCCTCCCCCCAGCACCTGGCTGCCCCCAGCCTGCGGCGCCATAGGAACAGAAACAACCGCGGAGCTGCGGGCCGGCCTTCCGGGGGAGAGCAGCCCCTGACGTGCAGGCCTGGCTCCGGGAGGAAACGGCCGAGGAGGAGGAAACGGCCAGAGGAAGCTACGCCCCAGCTCTGCCGATAGAGGCCATTTACCGCGGCGACAACAGAACGCGGCGGCGGGCAGATAGACAGCAGCCGCAGGCCCAGCCGGCCCCGAGCCCGCGCGAGACGGGGCCCGTCCTTCACTAGGCTGGCTGGGCGGCAATCACGGTTCCTCACGCTCGTCTGGAGTTCTCTTTGAAAACACGATTCTCTGGCGTGTCTGAATAAGGGCGACATGCACGGGACACGCGTGCACCCCAGCGTCTCCGTGAAGCCGCTAACGCAGTGAGGAGCGCGTGATCCCACTTTCACAGGGGAATAAACCGAGGCCGTGTGCGGTCAGGGGAGCCGCTTCCTGCCTCGACGCCCCAGAGTTCACGCAGAAGGCGAACTGTGTTTCTGTGAGCCCCTTGCCCATCCATCTCACAACGCTTGCTAAACGATCACTTGCAGACTCGCAGGCTGTTTTTCCCTCAGAATCACAGAAGGGCTGTTTCTACTCACATCTTTTTTTTTTTTTTTTT